CCCTGATCAGCACCCTCACCCCAATCTGGGGTGGGGCCGGCTGGCCCAACCTCCCACAGTCTCTCCCCATGGCCCAGTCCCACCCCCAATTAGCTCCCCCAACCCCAATTGGGGGTGGGGCCTGCTGGCCCAATCGGCTGCGGCCCCTTCCCCCAGCCAGCCCAGCCCTGATTGAGCCCTGATCAGGGTGGGCCAGCCAGCCAGCCAACCTCCTGCCATCTCCTCCTCCTGACAGGCCCAGCCCCTATCTGCCCCGATTGGGGCCAGGCCGCCAGACCCCACCTATGCACGAATTTGTGCATTGTGCCTCTACTTTTAATATGAAAACAAGGTACCTCAATGCAATTTGAGTAAATTTGATTCAGAACTTTCAGACAATTTAATCTACAAAGGCCCAAAGGCTCAAATGTATGTCTTTCTGACAGCTTGGTCTGACCCAGCAGTGATAGTAACAATATCTACAGCATGGATTTAAAACACCCCCTGCAGAGCTCTAGGGTTGCACCATTTTCTTCTAGAGTCTGAGGCCTGGTGGTGGTGAGTGTGAAGGGAATCTAAGCCTCCATTCCCACTTCAATCAGGGTAGCCTTGTTTAACCTATTTAAAAAGTGGGATGCTAAGTAAGATTTATTTAGAAGAAAAAGATCTTTGTCTTTAAAAGTGAAAAATCACTGATCAAGAGAATCAATGGACAGCATATTATAGGGGCAACTATAATTAACTATTATTCCTGGTGAGTGAGCAGCCAATGTGAGTTTTTTTGTTTTGTTTTTATTGATTTCAGAGAGGAAGGGAGAGGAAGAGAGAAATAGAAATATCAATGATGAGAGTGAATCATTGATCAGCTACTTGCCCCCCACTGGGGATCAAGCCTGCAACCCAGGCATGTGCCCTGACCAGGAATCCAACCAGGACCTCCTGGTTCATAGGTCGATGCTCAACCACTGAGCCACACCGGCTGGGTCCAATGTGAGTTTGGCAGCAGTATGTACAAGGTTATATTTAAGGCAAGAAACTGGAGTGTAAATAATGTTGCAGTTATGGTCAGATACACATCCATTAATAGTCATTAGCTCAAAGGGCAACAATAATATTCTCTAACTGAAACTGGAGAGCTTAACCTGGACTCACATAATAGTCACTAGGATGTTCCTGTACTCAGTTGCTCATTCCTTGAGTTTTAATGATTTATATGTTGAAACAAAGTATTAGGCTTCCTTGTAAACTCCCAGTTTCCTTGTATTTGTTGATAGTCAGGAGCCCATGTTTAAGCTCTCTTACTCAAGCATAGTAGAAAAAAGTATTTTATCTGGCCTCAATGGATTTTGCAGTATCTTGAGTGTTCACTTTTTAAAAACTTCCTTTAATAGTAAGGCTTGCCAGGTTATCCTGAGATTGGAAGTTTCCTGTAAGCTATCTTTCAACAAATTAAAAACAGGTCAACCTTGATTTGGAATAGCAAGGAGAATGAAACGGAGATAAGCAACAAGTGGAAGAGTATGCCTAGGACTTGTGTTCTCAGACACTTGGTAAGTGTTTTAAGAACCCAGGGAGGGCTCTAAATATGCCCTGGTGGAACCAGCTTGTTGAAATGCAAGTTATTGGGTCACCAAGGGTCCTGGACGAGGCCTGTAAGTGTATGCCTAAAAAATCACCTGTCTTCAAAAAAAATGATATCATCCTAGTAACAACCCGTTTTCAATTGCTTATTATGTGAAACTTAGCGTGAGTAGCTTGTTTGCCTTTGGGATGTGTTACTTTGTTGTCCGGTAGCGGCTTTCCCCTCCTAATTATGATTTGCTTTAGGCAAATGGCATTGAAAATGACTTGACTTTGAGAAGCACCCACAAGCCTGGGATGGCCCAGGTGGGTTTGGGAGAACGCTGATGGCAGGAGAAAGCCAGCCCGGTGTTAACATTCCATGTGGGAAATCTGCCTAACGGTAATGCACATGGGGAATGATTGAGAGCTGATGTTACAAGCAGAACACACTGCTCAAATTGATTGGTGACTTTGTTCAGCGGTAACTCTAATCTCCAAGGCATACCTCCTCCATCTCTTTATCTCTCAGAGTGAATTAATAAAACACCGATAGAGCATGAGAAGGTAAATCCTCAGCCCTCATCACCGGCACTGCCAACAAAGCCCTGGCTACCTGCAGACAATTTAAAAGAAGAAAGACTTGAGTTCTGGCTGAAGCAACTTTAACCTTCAACAGTTGTATAATTTAAATATATTCTTTTTAATTTAAAGTTACCTCTTAAAATTTGGCCCTAAAGACTCTGCTTGGAACGATGGGAGCATGACGCAGTGTGCAGATGATACTTTACTGAGTTGTACCCTTGAAACCTGTATGGTTTTGCAAACCAATGTCATCCCAATAAGTTCAATGAAAAAAAAAATAAAACCATAAAAAAAGAAAGACAATTTCCTGATCTGCTGTTTTGAGTGAGTATTCAAACAGAGCACCTACCAATGGGGCTTTATAAATGCATTTGTGTTTTCCTTGTTTTTGTTTTTGCAACATCCATTTTCGTTCAGAAGGTAGTAAGTTTGGAAGAAGTTGGACCAGTAGTCATATGGAAAATCACGTTGGTTCTTTCTGTAGTGATTTTGGGTGCATGATGATGATTCATGTTTATGACTTAGAATCTTTAGTTTTTCTGAGCAACACTGTCTCCTTGTGTAATGAGAATTACCTTCTAGTACATTAGTTTATATAGTTTTTTTAAAAAGTATTTTTATTTGAGCCCAGCTAGTGTGGCTCAGTGGTTGAGCATCAACCCATGAACCAGGAGGTCAGGGTTTGATTCCAGGCCAGGGCACATGCCCAGGGTTGCAGGCTCGATCCCCAGTAGGGGTTATGTAGGAGGCTGCCAATCAATGATTCTCTCTCATCATTGATGTTTCTCTCTCTCTCTCTCCCTCTCCTTTCCTCTTTCTGAAATCAATAAAAACATATTTAAAAAATAAGTAAGAAGTATATTTATTTGAATTTAGTGGCTTAAACAACCCAAACCAGATAGGGTGCCTCATTGAAGAAAATTTCTTTGTGCTCACATTTGACTATTTTCGTTGAAAAGACCAGCTGTCTTTTTCAGGGACTGTTTGCCCATTTTGACATTATCTATATTTTTTATTCTTACTCCTAATCCCTCTCATTATGCCTTTAAAGTGGTGGAAAAGAATAGAGAGAGTGGATGAAGTACAAAGCAATTTTTTGCTACTCATCATGCTTGGAGTTCTGGGAACGAAGATAGGAACATTTGGATAAATGAAAAAATCCACTATGCAAAAGATTGACATTATAAAAGTATTTCAACTTTATCAAAAGCAGTTGATGCAAAGTAGTAAAGCCAAATGAACATGTTACATATTTTCTCATCTTTTTCCTACTCACTTTTGGTTCAAGAGGTTTGTTCTATTTGGTGTCATGCAATTCATTCAACAAATACCTACATGCAGCTGTTAGGTACAGGCACTCTTTTAGATCTAGACACACCTCAGGGAACAAAACAGAGAAACATAGATCTTCTATTCCAGGTATAGGACAAGTCAGAAAGATACTAAAGTAAAATATACATTATTTTAAATGGTTAGGTGTGCTAAGTAGAAAATACAAAAAAGAAAGAGGGCAGACAATGTCCAGAGTGAGGAATAAGATTGTGATGTTAGAGTGGTGGGGAAGGCCTTACCGAGGAGGTGGCATTTGAGTGAAGCTGTGGAGAAGCAGAGAGAGAAAACCATGATGACATTTGGAAGGAGAGAGCTCCCTGCACAGCTAACACACGCAAAGCTCTTGAGCAGGGAGTGTGCGCCTGGCTTGTTTGAGTGACAGCAAGGTTTTAGGCCATTGTGGAATTTTGAACAGAGGAGCGAGGCGTTCTGACTTCTCTTTTAACAAAATAGAATGAAAGTAGGGAAGAGTGAAAATAGAGTGGATGGCTAGAAGACTAGATGTTGATTTTGTAATCGTCCCATCATCTACTCTGGAATGTGCATACCCTCATGAACTGAGAATTTGTAGTAATGTGCAGGGCTACTTGTTATGATTAAGGTTTGTTATTGATAGTGAGTTGCCTTATAGTAAAAAAAAGTTGAACACTCAAGAAGGAATACTTTTTAGAATATTTAACAGTACTATCAAAAAGATTTTTATTAAAACAAATGAATGATTAGATTTGGGGAGTAGAAATACAAATATGATTCTAATTAATATTCCATGTTTGTAGAACTTTACCCCATTTTATGTAATTGCAGAAAGAAATTGAGAATATTTAGGGATATACAACCTCTACTAGAGCAGCCCCTTCCTGATGGTGTCAATCTAGTCTAAAAATTCCAACTAGGAAGATCTTTTAACAAGAAACAGAATAAAGTTTGCTTTCTCTTCTTTTATGTATAGAAACACAGCCTTTGCGTCAGCTCTGCTTTCCAGTAAAGTCTTTATTTACATTGCAACTGTTTGTGTTTTTCTAGAATTACTTTAAATGTAATGCATTGTCTTTGTAGTCAATTCATTTAATTTTGTAACTAATGCTGGGAAAACAAATATTATTATCCCCAAAACTAGTCCCTGAAAGCAAACTGTGGCTTCTGTATACACTGCTAGTAAAGGGCTTAGCACATTTTTAGATCTGCCAAGATCCTTCACATCATCCACAGGAATTAATTTCAGTATTAAAGTCTATAATAAAGTGTTGATGTTCAGCTAACACTGATGTGGGGACTTTCATGCCCCCAGAAGAAGCTATCGGTCACCTGAGGTAGAAAAAATCTTCAATGCTCTCATGGCTCCATACTCACAAATATCTTACATTATTTGTTCAGTCAATGTTTAGGGGTGGGCAAATGTAGGTTTACAGTTGTGAGTATGCAAAACAGAGTTTATTCTTGTATTATTAATTAATTATTATATCATTTATTATTATCATTAATATATTTTTGCCCCACCCCTGTATTTTTTTTCACCCCTGTATTTTATTGAATACCTACTATGTGCAAGCTGCTGAGGGAGGATACAGATATTCAAGAATCAAAGGAAAGAGCCTAGTAAATGCATGGATTATTTTCAGTTATACTGTTCTATTAATAACAAGTTGACCCCTGTCCTTAGGGATCATTATTCATAAATTAAAAATGAATCCTAGTCACACAAAGTGTTACAAATATAGAACGTTACCTTTTCTATATTGAACCTGGATTTGAGAATCGCTGTCTTCTTTCCTCCTCAGGCTTAGAATAGACAAAGATATATTGTCCCTTATCCTTCCACTTCCCATCCATGCCCAAAGTTCTTAAGCATTTATTTCATTTGGTCTGATCATAGCTTGTGATTCCCTCTGATTAGCCAAGCTTGTTTGTTTGACACAAACCCAGTAGTCAAGCCTTTGAGGAATTTCTCTGTCAATTCCAGGAGGAATTACCACCTATGTCCCTTAATTATGTTTCCTTGGAAACCAGGAAACAATTTAAGCTTTTCACTTAAGCTGGGTTTAGGGTCAGTCTTAGCTGAAGCAGGGAATTTTCCTAGGTGCTCGTGGCCTTGTTTAAGGCCCTTCTCCCTTGCCGGCTATCAGGGCCCCTGTGATGTCCCTAGGCTCCTTGTGGTCCCCTCAGGATGACTTGATGCAGGGGTCCTCAAACTACGGCCCGCAGGCCACATGCAAATACAAATATTGTATTTGTTCCTGTTTTGATTTTTTACTTAAAAATAAGATATGTGCAGTGTGCATAGGAATTTGTTCATAGTTTTTTTTTAAACTATAGTCCGGCCCTCCAACGGTCTGAGGGACAGTGAACTGGCCCCCTGTTTAAAAAGTTTGAGGACCCCTGAGTCTTAATGGGTTTCTTCCTTCCCAGAGCAAACGGAACCTCTCCTAACCACCTCCCCTCCTTGAATCATCTGTCTAGTTTTTTTATAGGATAGATTTTTGAGCAAACAAATCATTGTGAGTCTCCTCAAACCACAGCAAATCACAGCATGTCATCTTCTGGGTAGCTGCTCCACAGATTTAGAATCATAGCATATTTTTAGAACTGGAAAGAACCTTGGAGCTTTTCTGTTTTTTTCTTCTTCTTTTAATTAGCATAATCTTTGCTTAAATGAAACCTCATTCAGAAACCCAGTGTATAGAGCAAGCTGTGCTAGATGGAGGGCAATAGATCCCCGTCCTCCATCTTCTCACCCTCCACATCCCCAGAGTAGCCCAGAGATGCCATAGAAACACTCTCGCAGACAGACCTCTGAAAACTGCCCGAGAGCTTCATTTTGTATTTCCTCCTGCCTCTTAGAGGTCAGATCTCTGTTCTCATGAACTTGAGACTACTTACCTGCCCCCAGCCTACTTGGAGGGTAAGGTGCCAGCCTTCTGGCAGTCACAGGCTTACCAACACCTTGCCATAGTAAGTGTCAGGAGGGTAGGCGTGAGAGATAAGGGTCCTTTAAAAACTATTCCAAGAGCTTACACGCAAGTGCTAAGTTTTCTCTTATTACAACATTGCACTCTTAAAAATATTTATCAAAAATAGAGACTGTGAAAATGTTCTCCTTCCCAGTGACTGTGGTGAGAAAGCACTTCCCTATGCGTTTGCAGGGACACAAAACATTTCCCATTCTCACTTCAGCTTCTGGCCAGCAAAATCTAGCTTCACCTCAATTGTCTCTGTCCTCAGAGGAACTAAGCCCATTTCATTAGTTTAATGGAAGTGGAGGGAGGATTGGCACAAAACTGATAGTGCTGATTATTTTTGGAAAGCTCCATGTCTGAGAAGAACAGATTGTTTTATTTATTTATGTGGCCCACGTGACAACCTAGGACAGATAGAAGATAATCAGGAAGGCTTGATGTCAGAAATCTAATTTAGTGTGGACTCTGATTTAAAAACAAAACTCCGTGTTTAATGGCAAGGGAAGAGGAGTGGAATGATTGGAGGGCTCCTTTGTTTTTTATTGCTGGTAGTTAGATTTTGCCATCTTATTAGACCACACCCTTTGGGGGAGGTAATAGAGTATAGAGGAAAGCATGTGGCCTTTCAAGTTCTTCATTCACTTTTAAAGATTATTAATTTACTAGAGTAGAGGCCTGGCACACGAAATTTGTGCACTCGGGGAGGGGGTTCCTCAGCCCGGCCTGTGCCCTCTCTAGTCTGGGAGCCCCCCCTAAGCTGGCAGTCAGACATCCTTAGCACTGCTGCAGACGTGGGAGAGGCTCCTGCCACTGCTGCTGCATTCGCCAGCCTGTGAGCCCAACTTCTGGCTGAGTGGTGTTCCCCCTGTGGGAGCACACTGACCACCAGGGGGCAGCTCCTGCGTTGAGCGTCTGCCCCCTGGTGGTCAGTGCATGTCATAGTGACTGGTCTTTCTGCCCTTTGGTCAATTTGCATAGTAGCCTTTTATTATATACTAGAGGCCCGGTGCACAAAAATTTGTGCACTCGGGGGGGAAGGGGGGGTCCCTCAGCCCGGCTTGTGCCCTCTCGCAGTCTGGGACCCCTCAGTAGATAACGACCTGCTGGCTTAGGCCTGCTCCTGGGTGG